TTTGTCTGTAATTTGGTAAGCCCCCCCATTATTATGTCATCCTTCTTTTACTCTTTAAAATAATAAAAAAAAAGAAATGGGAAACACTTGTCATATAGAACTGTGACCCAAAATAACCTTTTTCTCTTTATAACTTAAAACATAGAGGGCTGACAGCATTTTTCATAAAATTAGTTTTAAATTTTCATTAAATAATGAAAGCTTAAATTTTTAAAGCATCTTAGTAACTTTTTTATCACTTACTTCCTCACTGGGAGCCAACTGCAAAACTACAGGAGTTTCTTCAGAAAATAAGGAGTGAATGGAATTTGCAACGCTGTCGAGACTAAAAGGAACTGCCTGAAATTTAAGAGGAAGACCACAGTTATTTCCTGAACCAAGTGGGAAGAAAGAAGAAATGAAACAAAGGCACCAGCACTTTAAATGGAAATTGAGAAGACCGAAATCATTTCCAAACACAGACCCCCTTTGAGCAGCTGGAAGATTAAACAGCCCCCTAGTGGGCCGAGCCTGTATCTCGCAATATGCCTAAAGGGGAAATAACTTGCAGACATGAAAGACAGGACACTACTTTGCATAAGCCATTTTCTGGTGGTCATTCATGTATTTTAAGCAGTAACACATTTGGTTTCAATATTGATTAAACACACCACAAGGAATGTGCATTCCACTATAAAGTCCTGTACAGTAGTAAAGAAAACGTTTGAGGAATCTGAGGTAGTGAATTGAAAGAGAAATAGGCCTCAGTTTTCATTTCAAAAGTTTAAAAATATTTAGTAAGAATTAGGGTTTCTCTTCGGATAGACCAGACTCTTAGATGAGGTGTAAAGTACACTCCAAGAATTGTACATCTTAGGAATACGTGATGGTATTATTAGACCAAAATATCACTGATTGTGGTAAGACCTACTTTCTTACTTGCATTTTTATTAAAGCATAATGTACAATGCAGTGCACAAATTCTTAGGTAACAGCTCAACCAATGTTTTACAAATGGGTGCTCTCACAAAACCCAAGCTGCCAAAGACACAGAGCACCATCAGTACCCACAAACACCCCTCCCGCCCTCAAAGGTAACCAAAATTCTGGTTTCTCCCCTCTGTAAGTTTGTTTTGCTCCAGATTATTTAAAAAATAAATTACTGTAGTCTTTCCCTCAAAAGTTATTTTGTTCCTCATATTACTGTTTTAAAACAAGCAGTGCAGCAGTATTGTTTTAATGGAGATTTTTAAAGTGATTTCTTCCCTTTACTATTTAAAGGTTGGTGTTTATACGTAGCAAATTAATACTGATGTGGTACAGGCAGAAATCAATGTGATTATATAAATCTCACTGATGAAATCTCAGCATCAACATTAAGCTTATTTATTTTGTGATTTTGTGAAATGAAATCAATTTTTTTTTAGTCAAGGTGCATATTAACTCTTCCCCAAATTCTCTTCAAATGAATTAATGAGTAACTCTGGGGACGAGTGCTCAAGCTTGCAAAAGCACAGTCACCAGCCTCCCCTCACACGGTGCTTCCTTTGGGCGGCCACACAGTTGGCCTCCTCAAGCTTAAGAGAGAATTCAGCGGCAATGGACACAAACCCCCAGCCTCATTTCCCCCAGCGAAATGGCACTCAGGTCAGGAAAGCTGAAGACCAAGGGAAGTCTGCAGCCATTCCCATGGAAATCACATCATTAACTACAGAAATGCTTGGGGTGAAAATAATCTGTCTTTAGATCTTCACTGTTCCCCTCCTTCCATTTTACTCACATTTACTCTGAAATTCTTCCGATTTCTTCAGCACAATTGTGGACAACCTAAATTGTCTTAACATCCATTTAAGGAGATAAATTTCTCTTTTCTTACCATTTCAGCTGTACCCCACATTTTTTGTTTGTTTGAGACAAGAACTCACTGTGTATTCCAGGCTGGCTTTGAACTCACTATGTAGGCCAGGCTGGCCTCAAACTTGTAGTGATCCTCTTGCTTTAGTCTCCTGAGCGCTGGGATAATTTTTTAAATACAAGATACACTTGTTATTCAGTTCTAAATAATTTGGAGCCAGACACGGTGGTTCATGCCTATAATCCTGGCGCTCTAGGAGGCTGAGGCAGAAAGATCACAAGTTCAAACAGAGACCCTGTCTCAAAATAAAATATTTTTTAAAGGGCTGGGGATATTGAAAAAATATAAAAGGAAATTCTCACAATAATTTACTCTCCAAGCCATTAATTATCGAGAAGTACATCTATTCTAGCTATCTTTTTCCTGTTGACTTTTTCTTTCTTGTTGACTTTCTAAAATAAATCCTCAGTATACATGGCATCCATGCATATATACATATGGCTTAAGGAGAAAAACAGTTCTTTAAAACATTTCCCTGAAAAATGTCTGTCTTTCCCCTCCTTTCCCATTCCTCTGAGGCACTTACTTTGACATGCTTTGTTTTCCTTTGTTGTAACTACTACCTCTAAGTAAGAGGCTTCTACGACTAATCTTGACTTCTCAGGCTTAGGCACTGCTGTCCATTAGAGAAAACCAGGACTTAGTTCCTGCCCCATGCTGTGCAATGCATGCACTACACAGTTCCATCCCCTGCCCTCCCAGTAGTTACCTCCCAGCTCTTCCTGGTTGGTACCATTTCGTTTTATGATTAGAAATATCAGTTGCAGCCCAGCCTTGTATGATACAATCACTGTACTGCTTTTCTTCATCCACAATGGCAATGATGAGAAATCTGCTTTCTCTTTTCATTCCTTGGTACTGACAATGTCTTTTCTCTCTGATAGCTTTTAAGATTTTCCATTTCCTTGACGATTCCTTTATTTCATTCTATCTAGGTGTTGATTTGGCTTTAGCATACCTGAGTATTCAATATGCTTTAAATCTTAGGAGTCAGTTATTTTGTCTGTTTTTAGCATTTTCAAATCCTTATTTTTATTTTTAACTGACAGTTAACAACTGTATATACCTATGGGGTATCTAAAATATGTTTATACCATGGAATGATTATATCAAACTTATTAATAAGCCTGTTGCCTCACTTATTTTTTTGTGGTGGAAACATTTTAAATATTTTTTAGCAATTTAAAAATAAAGTGTGTTACTATTATTTAGTATAGTCATTTTGTGCACTAGATCACTAAAGCATGACCCAGCAATCTCACTTCTGGGTATATATCCGAAGAACCCAAGTCAGCATGCCAAAGGGGTATCCATCCATGTTCACTGTAGTGCTATTCACATCAGCTAAGCTATGAAAGCAGCTTCGGTGTCCAAGACCAGCAAAATGGAGAAGGAAAATGGCCAGGGTGAACCTGCACAGGAGTGCTTGCCTACCACGCAAGAGCCTCTGGGCTCAATCCCCAGCACCCTAAAAAGGGTGGGCAGAATCCTATCATTTATAACAGACTGGCTAAACCGGGAGAACATTATGCTCAGTGAAGAAAGCCAGGCACCGAAGGGCACATACTGCATGATCTCAGGTCTATGTGGAATCTGAAACAGTTGCACTCATAGAAGTAGAGAGAAAAATGGCGGTTCCCAGAGGCTGGTGGGGTAGGGGTAGAAGGAAAAAGGGGAGAAGTCGATCCAAAGACTTTTATTGTTCGTTTGTTTTTTGAGACAGGTTCTTGCTATGTAGCCTAGGATGGCCTCAAACTTATGGCAATACTCCTGCCTCAGAATCCCAAATGCTGGGATTACAGGTGTGTGCCAGAAAGCCTTGCTCTATCCAAATACATTTTTAAGGTATCACTTTTGTAATTATTTTTAGATTGAAATGCACTGTGGTCAGAGAAGGTAGTGTATATGATACCAAATTCTATTGTTTGTTTAGATTTGTCTTGTGGGCTAGGGACAGCGGCACAGCGCCTGTCTGGCAAGTACAAGGTCTTGAGTTCGATCCCCTGTATAAAAAAAAGCAACTCCTAGATTTGCCTTGTGACCTACCACGCAGTCATTCTGGGTAAGCATGCCATGTGTGCTTGGAAATAAATCTATAGTAGACTTCAGGAAGAACTGAAAAAAATTCCCAAAAAGTCAGCATCATACAGGCCACAGTCTTATAATGCAATGACATTAGAAATTAAAAATTTAGAAATTATTAAAAAAGAACTCATATATTTGGAAATGAAATATCTCATGGGTTAAAGAAACCCAATCTAAATTATGAAATATTTACAAATCAACAAAAGTACCTCAGATCCAACAATGTCTTATAACGGCCTCAGAGTGGTTATTCCTTCCTTTAACTCTTTAACAATTTTAATGTACGTATTTTCAAATCTCTTTGAGACTGGTGTTATCTGTAGTTCCAGGCAGGCGGCATGTTGGTTGTACTCGCTTTCTCATGGCATTGTGTTTTCCTCTGCTGCTTTATGCGTCACTTTCAGTTTTTCGCCAGAGGAGCCCTGGCAGTGGAGGTGTCCCTACACAGTGGGTCATGTGAGTTTGGAGTGAACCTCTCTACACCCATAATTCTGAGTTCTCCAAGGAGACTCTTTGTGCCCCCAGTGAGGGCAGCAAGCCAGCTCCCCTGCAGCAGCCCTGGGGTGGCAGAGGTTTTGCTAGTCCTTGAGAGCAAGTGGACAGGCATTTATAGTCCCCAGCCTTCTGCAGGACCCACAACTGCAGCGTCAGCTCCTGCTCACCACAGTGGCCCCTGTGTTTCTAGTCCTGTCTGGCATCTGTGCACACCCCTTTTGTGCTCTCCAGTAGAGTTATTCTCACAAAAATGTTTTTATTGCCAGGTGTGGTGGTGCATGCCTATAATCCCAGCACTCAGAGGCTGAGGCAGGAGGATCCCCATGAGTTGGGGGCCAGCCTGGGCTGAGCGACACAGTGAGTCCTTGCCTCAGGAAAAAAAAAGTTTTTATGGCATGTCATCCACCACTTCTATAAGCTTGCAGCGCCAGTAAAGCCCCTCCCATACTGCCTGAAAGCCTGAGCAGGAGACAGCAGGCCAGCAAATGGCCTCTGATGTCAGAGGGAAAATGTGCAGGGAAAGAAACAAGAAAATGCCCAGAAAGATATAGTAGGAAACATCCTCAGCTGGTTCTTCTAATGACTTTACCCCTTAGAAGAGCCACCAACTCTTCGAGTGGGGTAATTTTTCTACTCTTATCCTATAAAGTATTCTCATTCACAGAGAGTGGCTAAGTTTAATAAATTTACAACTAGTGTGCATCCAAAAGAAGACATGAGAAGTGTAGCGAGAATGCGATTTATAATGTCAGCTGAAAAGAGAAAATTAGAAGCGCATCCCTTTCGGTTGGGCATGTAACTCAGCTAGCATTCATCAGGCTGTGGGTTCGATCCCCAACACTGACAAAAAAAGTCTATCTGTATTCTTTAAAATAAGAAATACTCACATTCTCCAAAGGATATGAGATGACATGGCCCGGAGGTAGAGCCAGTTTGTCAACTCCTTTTACCAACACCATAATGGTAGCCCTGGGACGATGGAATAAATTACCCACTGCAAGTCCTGGCCACGAAAGGTCCTGACGATAAAAAAAACGAAGATAAATTGTAATGTTGAAAAGCAAAGAACGGTGCTTAATTATCAACTCGGAAACCATCTCCCCAGTAACACCTAATAAGCAGTTAAGGGGTCTGGGGATGACACTGGCCAGGAAAACTCACAGGGACAGAGACATTGTACTTAAGGCGGTAGCTGCAATCTCATCAAAGATGCTGGCTTCTACCGTCTTCATTTTCTTAAAATCTTAAACATTTGAAACAAAATCTAATAGTAAGTCATCTCAAACTGCTGTGGAAAAAGTGCGGATGTATACAGAACATAGGCCCTTCTAAGATTCCAGGTTGCAGAGTATCCTCTTCTTCAGACAGCCAAGGAGATTTTCTTCCCCTCTATCGTTTCTTGTCCTCATGTGCAGCATCCCTTTCATCTTTCACATGGAATAGCGAGACCGCCATTCAAACATTCTCTTTACACTTAGCACTTTATAAATAAAATTCTTACTGAAAGTTAATGCATATTAGTTTACTTACAGCTATTTCTAAAGGTTATTTTTACAGCCACTTGTAGTCAAATTTAAGATTGTAGGACTGGGATTATAGATAGCTCAAGGGTACATTTGCCTAGCTGCATGAGACCTAAGGTTCCACACCCAGCTCTGCAAAAAATGGAACAAAACAAAAATAAAGGTTCAAAAGAACTAGGTACAAATTTCAACCCTAAATGTAAAGGTGCAGTCTTGTTCATTTTGTTGCCCAAAGAGACAGTAAGGAGTTCAGGGCTCCACCCTCAGGCCCAGCAGTCAAACAATTCCCAGGCAGAGCTTGGGAGCATGGAGGGGCTAGAACGCAAGTGCAAGTTGGTGACCCATGAGCTCTAGAGACTGCATCAAAATCACATTTATGCAGTGGGAGGAGATAATAAGAGTAGCCAAAGCAAGCGGCATCTCCTTCCTTCCAAGGCCTGAGCTTCAGATCTTTTGGACTGACTGGATCTAGGGCCCTGTGCTACAGTCACACAAGCAGCCAGTTACAACTGGTTACAGGTTTACTCTAGGAAGCCGAGGTCACAGGCTGCCAGCGATCCACTACCACTGAGCACATTATTTTTCTAACTGCAGACAGGATGCATAGACATTTTATCATTCTCAGCACATCTATCACCTGCACGGAAAAAATGCTATGTCCTATTAATAGCAGTATGCCTATATATATGTATATTTACTATGTATCAATTAAAAATTAAACTATTTTAAACATTTTTAAAACTTAAAATAGGACAGATGCATTGTTATATACAAAGAATTTGAATATATAGTTAACAGTTTACAATGATTTAGTTTCAGAAGATAAGCTTGAAGCAGTTATCCAAAATCTCCCCAACTGGAATCTGTAGCAGATATACCTATGTTTGTTTGTTGCTTTCTTGGGTTCTTATCAGAAATTAACAAATATACTTTTAGCCGGATGTGGTAGTGCATGCCTATAATCCCAGTACTTGGGAGGCTGAGGCAGGATTGCTGTGAGTTTGAGGCCAGCCTGCTACATAGCAAGACCCTTTCTCACACACACAAAAAAGAACAAAAAACAGAAGTAGCTCCAAACAAATGGGGGGGGGGAAGAATCAAGTTATATCATGTACAGGTACAAATTCTCTGTGATCATTATGTATATCTAAAATGTACCAATAAAATCTGGAGAAAAAAAGGACTGCCAAACATTTAAAAAAAAAAAAATATATATATATATATACATACTTCTTTAACAGAGAAGCCCATGGACAATGCAGCCACGTCTGGGATTCGCTCTCCTGGTATAGGCCAATTTCCATTTCGGAAGACAACAGACCCTGGTGACCTTAATATACTAAACTCATTCCCCACAACACCTGAGAAGAAAACAGATTATTAGTAAATGAATTATCAGCTTCGTAAGTCTTTTGTACTCACCTTGAAGATTATGATATATAATACATGTTTCCCCTTTCCCCACTGTCTTAGCGTACTGAATTATGATTGGACAAAATGCTGAATGCTAAACATCAATAGATGGAGGGCCCTTGGGATTGAACTCAAGGCCATGCACATAGGCACGCACACTACCACTGAGCTACTCTCCCAGCCCTACCAACAAGTTCTTTTTCAAAGTATCGTTCTAAGAATTTACGTTTATATATTCTGCTGAAATAGAGATGCAACTATGAAACAGGATTTTCCTAATGACCTAGAGGCCTTTTATAGATGACCCTTAACAAGAACGTGTGGCAATTTGGCAAGAATCAGAAATCAGTATTGTTTTTCCACAATTTAAAAAACAAACACCAAAAAAAAAAAAAAAACCCTGGTGCAAACTAGAACTGAAGAAACTTGGAATTTCTAAATTATTTCTTCCATCGACCCTCTCTACCAAATGCAAATTCATAAAGTTCCCAGTATTTCATCATAGGATTTTAGCAGATTAATGTATCTTAGGCTAGATCACATCTTTTCCTTACACCCCACAAGCACACCTAGTAAAATGAGGATCGTCAAACAGGTGTGTGTGTGTGTGTGTGTGTGTGTGTGTGTGCATTACACCAGCCAGACTATAAAATCATTCAGATTTCAGAAACAAAGTCCAGGAAATAGTATTTTCAGCTGACACATTGGAAGGATAAGAAAAGACATTCTGTAATGATGAAGTCAATTAGTCTAAGAGTATTATTATGTCTAGGATTAAATGGTGAAGGATAAAAATGAGCAGGGTATGGTCGTGCATGCTTGTAATCCCAGCAGAGAGGCTGAGGCAGAAGGGTCACCATGAGTTTGAGGCCAGCCTGAACTACACAGCCAGACTCTGTCTCAAAAAAACCAAAAAAGACAGACAGACGGACAGACAGATAGAACTCTTTTATAAGTCCTCTCAGGCTAAGGATAAGGTACTGGCTTTCCTTCACCCACTGGTATTAACCCAGTGATGTCTCACTTACCCAGGGATGAGTAGCTAATGGAAACAAATCTTGGCCATGCCTAGTATGGGAAAATGAGCCTGTAGTAAAGCATAGTGTCATTCCCTTGAACTAAGAAAGTACCATTTACAGGGCTCAGCACTGAAGTTGGAAGCAACAGTAACTGTTTTGCTGTTCCGGTACTGATAGTAAACAAAAAGGCCTCAGGATGGTGCTGATACAATGTGACAAACTGAGTTTCAATTTAGCACAGCCACTAGAGCAAGAGGTTCAAAACTGTTTCAGCAGAAGCAGATAAAAAAAAAAAGTCCACTGGAATGGGTGTCTGTAGCTGACAGACATCTCAGTTTACTAAGGCAGTGGTACTGCAAATTCTAAGGAAAACAGGCAATACAAGACCCATACTCTCCAAGTGCTGCACACTTTTAAGGAACTCCACCTGGAGCCGAAGATACTTTTGTTTCGCATGGCGTCCTTCTCCCCCGCACCCCCAGCAAAGCTATACTATGTAACTCCGTTGGCCTACGCTGTACTGTGTAACTCTCTGCCTGCAAGGCTTAGAGACCCTTAGTCCTGGGCTCCTGGGTGGAGATCACCTTGTTCAAACTTCCACTCGCTGCACATCGTTATCTCTGGGTCATCGGGCAGAAAGCTTCCTGTCCTCTACTTGAGCACTACCAGGGATGAGGGATGCCACCTCAGTTTACAAACACTGTTTGCCAGAAGTCAATCCCATTGTCCCAACATTCTACTGCTGTGAAAAGTTTTTCCTTGTACTGAACTGAAAGGGGCTTCCTAAGTCGCATCTCTCTAGGCTAGCTTGCCTCCACTCAGTCCCACCAAATGACCCACCTGGCATCAGAGAAGCAAGGAACTCCCCAAGCTAGCGGGTGCCTCCCCTCTCCCCACCACCAAGGTATGGGGATGCCTCCCTCTAGCCCACGGAAATCCCGGTTCAGCCTTTCAGGAACCTGCATTCACTTACCTATGAAATTATTCCTTCAATGCTTAAGCCACTGTTTGGCAACAGACAACACACCAGGAGACAGGTGATTTATGATGGTGAGCATAAAAAGCTGGCTCTGAGGTAAGTTCCATGAAGGCAGGAATTTCAGGGTTTTTTGTTTTGGTTTTTGAGACAGATCTCCCTGTGTGTAGTTCAGGCTTGCCTCAAACTCATGGCAGTCCTCCTGCCTCAGCCTCTCGAAGGCAGGAATTGCAGTGTCTTGTTCACATCCTATCCAAAGGGCTGAGATCGGTGCCTGACACACTGGTGCTCAGTAAATACATACTGAGTTAATGTGTGAGTGAAGTCACACCTCCAACTATCAATTTTCCCCTCTCAACGGGCTCTTTTACTTCAGCACAAAAACATGCTCAGGACTTGCCCATTCTACAGTTTAGACCACAGAGCCACACGTGGTGGCTCATGCCTATAATCTCAGCACATGGGAAGCTGAGGCAGGAGAATCGCTGCAAGTTTGAGGCCAGCCTGGGCTACATAGTGAGTTCAAGGTCAGCCTGAACTACATAGTGAGACCCTGTGTCAAAAAACCAAATATAAACAAAATAAAATTAAGACCACAAAAAGAAAACAACTCTTGTGGTCCTATCAGTTTCTACCAGCTACCAGCCCCTGTGTACCTTTAGAGGAAGAATCCTGCTGCAACCATCAAAAGCACACTGATGGCTCCCAGGTTTTTATTTCCAGCCTAGTTCTCCGTTAAACCTTAGACCTATGTGCTCAACAATCTGCTGACATTTTCTTTAAGTCCCACCAGCCCTTCAAACTCAACAGATTCGAAACCAGAGTCACCATCTTTCCATACACGTCCGCTGCATTCTCTATCTCCAAGGATGATGCCGCCTTCTATCCCACTGCTCTGGTCAGTCTTTAAATTGTTCTGCAGCGCCACAGCTAATTAACCAACTAAATCCTGTTCTTATCTCCTGAACCCCTAAGTCTCTCACTAAGTTTGCTAGGGCTGGTGGCTTTCCGGACGGTTACATACTCTATGATCCCACTTTCACCTTATTAAAATATAGATCTGCCTGGTCACCCCTCTGCTTAAACACCTTCACTCACTACACAAAGCCTTCCAGGAAAATCAAACCCTAAGACCTCAGGCAGCACACCAACCCTATTCCAGGGATCTCTCCAACTTAATCCCTGTACATTCTGGCCCCAACAAACTAGTTGCTCCTTTGCACTCTCGTGTCTGTGCGCTTCCCCATGCTGTTCAGTCTAAAACGCCTTTTCTTTCCACACCAACCTTTCACCTATTTGCTCTGTGAGACACCTCCCCGGGGGAAATATCCCTCAGCCCAAGTGTCCTCCCTTCAGGTACCAGGAATGGAACTCACGACCTTGCACTTACCAGGCAGGTGCTGTGCCGCTGAGCTAAATCCCCAGCCCACCAAGTGTCCTCTCTGAGAATGCCACCGTACCGCTCTGATCTATGAATGGTGAATGGAAGTAATCAATTAAAAAACTGGTCTCACTTTTGTCTTCTTGGCATCAGTGACCTCTTCTACAGGACAACTCTTCACATTCCATGTGTTCCCTCTTGGCCTTTCCTCTCCAGGCTAAATACATTAATTTTTCTTTTCAGACACTCCTCGGGGTATGGTATGCATAAGTCTCTCTCTAGTTCAGTAACACTGCTTTAAATAGAGAAGTCAGAGGGCTTAATGGTTTCTATGAAGTCACACTTAGTCACTGTGGAAAATAATAATTTAACTTCATCTGACAAGACCCAACAATGCAGAAGCTCAGGTTCTTGGTCTGTATGAACCAGATCATTCCGGTAAGGAAAGCATGTTCAATTCCTGGACAGAAACAATGATTTCATCTCAAACCCAAAAGCCAAACCTCACGGAATCAAAATAATGTCACTGAAGCACGGAATCTCAGATGTTCAGTTAAAACACATCATGAAAGGGAAGTTTTTCAATTCAAAAACTGGATAAAATAAAAAAGTCCAGGGTATCTAGCTAGATCAGAACGAACCATTCCAGAGCCAGCAACAGAAAGGAAAGAAAGAACCCTGAAACTCTGGATGCATGGAAACAAACACACCGGCACTTCCGGGACGGAGGAGAACTACAGATTTCAGGACCACCCCGGTCCACCTCTCTTGCAGAATGAATGCACCTCCCACAGCACAGGTCTGGCCTCCCACTGGTTTCAAACTGACGAACTGGGGGTGGGAGCACCCTTCCTTCCAAGTTGCTCTCAACGTGGCCTCCTGCCGCCTATGGTGTGCACCCTCAGTCTCAGTCCCCATCACTCCCACAGCCTCACCCCCGCCACCAGCAGCGTCCGCCTCGCGTGGAAAGAGCCCACTCGCGATCCGGCTTTCCTACTCACTACCCGGGTGGTGCTGGGCAATGGATTCAGGCTTGACCGCTACAGGAACACGAAGACGAGGCCCTGTGCAAAGCCTGCTGTAAAGCAAAACGCACTGTCACGTGACAGTGAGCGCCGACTCCCACCGCTCTGCTCAGCGCCAGGGAAGCCGGGTTCTCTCCGAAAGCCACCGCTCACTCGACATGTGACCCTCAGGACGTGACTCCTCCTAGTTTCTAAAGCCTTAAAACTGGGAACTGCGACCAACTATTGAAAGGTGCTTGCTATTCGTTCACCTAAAGAAATAATCACATAAAACGGCTCCTTCTCAGCTTTGGCGTCCCGAAACGAATTCGGAGATCTCACCCGCTGCCTGACGACCGTCGCCAGGAAGGAAGACACACGAACGCAAAGCGAAGCGAGCGAGCGCGCAAAGGCGGCTGCGGGCGGCGGCTCACGGGCAGCGGCGGCCCCGCAGTCGGTTGAGAAACGCATCCAGCCCGCCGCGGGCCTCCCGGGCCGGAAGAGGAGGCCGGGCGGACACGGGGAGCGCCGCGCCTCCCCCAAAGAGGCGGGGGCCGGCTCGGGAGA